CTATCTGAAGGATATTGGCCCTCCAGTACTGCAAGGTGGCGTAATTGTCCACCATAGTGAGGTAAAGCCTGGCTGGTTAAGTGGTTCCTTTCTCTCTCATGGCCTCATTCTAGACAGGACTCTTTTGGTCAGAAGTTAAGTTCATTGCTATGCAAATGAAGATTCTCACTTGGGCTGAGGAAATACAGCCTGGCTATTTGAATGTAACTCTAGCCTAGACCCTCATCCACAAATAAGAATGGTCAACCTATAAGAACCATACTTTTGAGGAAAACCAGCAGTCTGAAAGAGAGGCACCAAATTCAACCCAATGAATAATGAAACAGCAAGGACACATTTAATACACTGTATAGAATAAACTTTAAACCCTCAGAGATATTTGATAAGATGTAGTATCTACCAAAAAGAAAAGATTGCTGTGAAAAAGAAAAAAAAAGTTTATATTGACATTAAAACATGATCTTTTAAGTAAAACTTCAGTAGATGGAGATAAGATGAAGATGAAGTTAGCTTAGAAAAAAGAGTCTAGGCATTCTGAGAATGTACTAGAAAGGCAAAGATAGAAAATACGGGAGAAAAAGTTTTAAGCAATATGGAGGCTAGATTTAGGAGTTCTTATATCCTAAAATAGAAATTCTAATAAGAGTGAACACTGGGGGGAAAAAAAAGAATGGACAGAAAAATGGAAGAAAGTATGGAAACAGAAGAAAATGGGAAAGGCCTGCTGGGTTCTGGATATAAGATGACCAGAGCTTGTTAGAGTGGTAGCAATGAAAGTATAGGGAGCATGATGAATTTCAGAGTGACTGGCTTTGAGACGTATTTAATTTAAGGGCTGAATTGGTGAAGAGAAGTGAAATAGAATTCCAGATTTGAAAATCAGATATCTGAAGAAATGATGGCTAACATTGAAGAATATGCGAAAAAGTCGGGAAAGAAACGTAGTTTAAGAGGGAAGATGTCAACTGGGCTTTAAATGTAAATTTTCACCCGTTCCTATTTCCCTCTGAGAAAAATTCTGTTATAGACAGATCTGCTTTTGTTTGCCTTTCCTATAGCTTGCACAATTCCATCTACCGTGTATAATATCATTTGGTTCTCTTAGCTTGGCTTAAGGAGAGGATAGTCAAGTCATAAAATTAAAAGGCATACGATTCTTGTGTGCATATTAGCTGCAAAAAACAAAGTGAATATTTAAGTACTCTGTTAACTTGTCCACGAGGGAGACCATGAAAGTGTCTAGGCATCAAGAGATATAAAACAGAAATAAATTATATTCATTATTCCTAATTTAAGATAGATAAAATGCCGTTGCTGTATCTATTAACTTGATGTGGTATTTTTATTGCTGTATTTTAAAGACTGGAAGAAAGTTATTGTGAATTTCCTGAGTTTTCCCCTTAAAACTGCACTTTTTTTTTTTTTAATTGTGGATTCTTCCACAGCATTTTCAGAATCATGACTCCTGTATCCGGGCAGGGAATGTTTTACTGAGCTTAAGGTGAGAGTGGGGTCCCAGAAGTATTTTGAGGACATTTGATAATCAGATTAAACATTAGTATGTGTTTACCCTAGTTGTTAGGATCTTGCTTCTCTGAACCATTCTGCTTATTTGTCTTCAGATTCACCTGGTCTTTGGGCATGGTTCTTACAGCAAAGGTAGGAGCACTTTCAGTTACATTATCAGCGTCCACTCCCCAGTTACTTGATCACAATCCAGAGAACTCCCCCGAGTACGTTCCATTCTTTGAACATTGGTTTTATTCTGATTTTCAGGGAGAATTACTTCTAATTCTCCCCACAGGGGTTATGAAGCTGAAGTATAGTCATCTCTGCTTGGAAGTACAAAACATTTTTCCTGATTTGAGTTTTTATAATGACAAAATAGAAGGGAAAATAACCAGTCAAAACTGTATTTTGAACAGTTACTGCTTACCTGAGTCAAAATGAGGTAAGTGGACACCTTCCATTTGGGCCAGAATATCTCTTAAGAAATGGACATGATGTAAAATGATTGGAATAATAACAAGTAAGTCTGTTATGGTAGCTTGGGTTAATATTTTACAGCACCCCGGATTTGGGGAACTGCTGAAGCTTTCTGAGCAGGGCGTGCCTTGATCAAAGCAGTGCTTCGGAGGATTCGTCTGCCCACGAATTGCAGGAATGCCTTGGTGTTTGTCACCAGCCCTTATTTGTAGGTTCCTGGTCATTTGTTGTGGGAGTGGCAAAAAGGAGCCAAAGGCCAGTTGAGAGGCTATTTTCGTCCCCTGGGGATCAGGAAATATGAAGCTGAGAGTGAATGGTGACAGTGGGAATAAAAATAAGGGACAAATTTCTGAGAAGTTGTGGAGAAGGAATGGACATGGTCTGACAACCGGACTGAAGATAAGCCGGGAAGAAGGAAAAGGCCATAGTGGTCATGTCAGGAGAAAGCAGGGTTTTCTCCTGATGAAACTGTTGGGCAGACAGCCTGGTGGAAGTGTTGGGTAGTACCCTGAGTATGTGGATTTAGGGAATCATCTTTGTGTAAGTGGGCGTTGAAACCCTGGAGTAAAGAGAAAACAGAAAAGAGGGTTGAGTGTGGCGCCCCGGGCAAGGCTAGCAAGGCTGGCAAGGCTGCAGTTACGAGAAGGGCTGCGAGTGAACAGCAGATGGGAGGGGGGAAGAGAACTAGGTCATCACTTAAACTGAGGAAGGAGGGAGCTCCAAATCAAGGGGATTGATTATCTGTCCAAAATATAATAGAAAAGCTGAGAAAAGGACTTACTGTGCAGGTTGAGAATTCTTAGAGCTGATGGGTTTGGATTTATGTACGGAAATGGAGAGAGGAGCCTTAAATGCCTTAATGAATCCCATTTATTGCCTTCTAAATTGGCTTAATTTCATGTCATTACGCTTAGAAAATTAGTTTACGTTTATCATTTTGTAATTACATTTTTAAAGGAGGAAAAAGAATTATGGCCAGAGGTGATTTTGTTAAGGAGAGAGCAGTGACAATTTATTTAGAGCATGTACATGTTCCATTTTTCATAGTTGAAAAAAATTTTTTTGTCTATTAGTCCTTTTAACTTGAAGCACTTTGAATAAGTAACAGGAAACATGCTCTTTCTGGAAAAAGAGTAGACTATGTCTCAGGGTTGACAAGCTGAAAATCCATTTATTATATTAATATTAATTAATTGAGTTTCTCATGGATATTTTGTTAAGGAATATGTATGCGAATTTAGCATCTGAAAATAAGGTCTATAAATGATCATAATTTATAACAAATAAGTACAATTAAAGAAAAAGGATAAAGTGTTAAAGAAATTCAGAGGAAGGGGAGATTATTTTCAGCTTTTCCTTTTTTGTGTGTGAGCAAGGGGGTTTGGGGAAAAGGTGTTCCAGGTAGAAGAAACCCTGAGCCAAATACAGAGTTTGGGTCTTACGGGGACAGTGGGCATTTTTGCTTGGTTGAAGTGTGTGTGTGGTGGTGAGGGGGGAGGTGCTTGAGGAAAGGTTAGAGAAGATAAGGATAGAAGGATAATTTTCAGCTGGAACTTAGACAATGGCAGGAGTTTGAACTTTATTTGGAGGCAGCATGGAGCCAATAAACATTTTTTGAACAGAGAAGTGATATCACCTAGCTGATGCTTTAGAAAAATGACTCTGTTATTTAAAATTTTAGTAAGCAACAGGCAGCACTTATACCATCAGCAAAAAATGATGAAAGTGAAAGAAATACGCGTCTAATAGTACCATTTAGGTTGGATTAGAAAGTGAGAAAGTAGAGATAAGGAAACCAATGAGGGAGGAGATGTAAGTAATACTTACAACATGAGTAAGCCCTAATCCTTGATGTCTGCTCTTTTGAAGCAGTGATTAGTGTTTAGTAGTATATTATTTGATTGGTTAAGTTCTTTTTGTTTTTGACTGAAATTGAAAAGGGAGCATTAAGGTCATTGGGGTGGCTTGCAAAAACTCAAGGCAGACAAGGTTTTGTAGCTGGACCCCAGAAACGTCTAGAATCAGGAGCTAAAAATCTATTGATAAGCCTCCTCTCCCTGCTCCCTCTACTCTGTTTTTCAGAGCATTCCCTGGATTCTTTTTATTTTTCATTTGTAAACTTTATCTCACTAGTCTAAGCTGAAGTTGGAAAATGGCCTTTCTTGGCTCCTGTGTTCCAGCCACCAAGAGAGGAGAGAGAGACAGAGAGAGCCAGGTTGACCTTTGCTTATGGTTTCAGGTTCTCAGGGATAGGACTTTGATTTTATTGTGCTCAAAGATGAACTTATTTTTACTGTTTTATATCTAGTGCCAATCAACTATGGCCAGGAGAATATAAATACACTGTGGGAGTTAACTTCTAGATTGGAGGGTTGGTTAAGAGGTCATTAAGTTAGGCACAAATCCCAAAGGGTTTTTACTACAGTTATGCACTGTGAATTTTTACCATTGTTTAAGGTATTGGTTGAAAGCAGACTACATTAAATTTAGAGAAGTAATAAGAAAATTGTACAGGGGTTTCCTCCCAATAAGCGTGTAAGTTGAACCTTAGTAAAACCAGTTACCTTTGTGGGAGTGTGGAGTATACAGACTGAGAGGAGTCAAGAGTGCTGGGGTGCTGGAAATGTTCTGTATCTTGATCTGGGTAGTGTAGTGATTACACAGATTTTGGCATATGTCAGAATTCACCAAGATGTTTGCAGTCTGTATGTATGTGTGTATGTATGATGTATGTATGTAAGCAGTATCTCAAACAAAAAGTCTAGGCCAAGTTGACTTATTTGATTTAGCCACCTTTCTTTGTCATATAGATGCCCATGTATCACTATGTTTTTGGCAATTTAATTTAATTTTAACTTTTCCCTTTTATTTCAAATAGATACATTTTTGTATCTATTTTTAGCTGTTCATTTGACATATAATTTGAGGGTTTCAGAAATGTAAATATGATGATGATGTTTTTAATACATGATAGAAAAAAAGTAATACTTGATTTACTTTTTTGCCTGATTTAGGAGCTGTGACTGATGAGAATTAAAGGCCATGGATGAAGATGGACTTGAATTACAACCTCAAGAGCCAAACTCATTTTTTGATGCAACAGGTATAACTACTTGGGTTGTTCCACTTAACAACTGCCAAATTTGGAGTTGGTTATCAAGAGGAAGAATTGCTAGACTCATGTTGATATTCACAGTTAGGTGTCTTATTAGCCTCTCAAGCCTACAAATGTTAAAGTGAGTGCATTATTATTCCCTGCCTTAAAAATTTGGCTCCCTCATAACCAACATTCATTCTTGTCAGAAACAGCAACAATATTAAAACCTTAATATTTACTTTAGTTATTCTCATCTTGCCCAGTTATAACACTAAGTCCTGTTAGAGTTCTCCCTTTGAGAATGCTCCTTGCTTACCTTTCTTCATTCTACTTTCTTCCATGTAGACCAGCTCTCTCATCTCATTCTTAGTCTGCAGTAACTTTTAAATTATTTTCCTTACTGTGAGTCTTGTTTATCTAGCCCACCAGAGTACTCATCATAAAATAACATATGGATCATGTCATTTCTCTATTTTCCATTACCCAGCAGGTAAAGTATAAACCTAAGGCCCTCTGCATTCTGACTCCATCCTGCTTTCACAACCCTCTCTCACAAAAGAGGCATTTGCTTCAGGAAGATGGAGTCTTACCTCACTCCCCAAATTGGACAAGGAAAATTAAATTCATGAAGTTCTAAACATAGAAAAATGATCACAATTTCAGATTACTCATGGTACCAGTAACATAGTGATTATGCTAGGTTTTATAATGTAAAATGTTTTTATATCACACTAACTAGTTACCCGTATAAATAGAATGTTAATGAGTTTTCCATTGGACTTGAAATGACCATATTGCAGCATATTAAAGAAATAGCAATTAACTTTATAAAAAAATTAAATATTGGTGATTTTTAACTTTAACTTTTCTTTAATCTCTAAACCCAGTGGGGTATGTGTATTTTTCTTAACAATTTGGGAGTCTTTTGACTCACGTTGAGTAATTTCAGTTTGATAATGATAAATGCGAAGTTATGATTCTTTCTTCATTAGAACATGAAGTATAATTAATGTGCTTGGAAGAGAGACTAAGCTCTTTGGAGAAAAATGCACACTATTTACTAGCTTAATCTTGCCACAGACAAGCCTGGATCGTGGGCTAAGTGGTAGATTGAAGGCTTTGCATTTTAGCCCTGATTGTTAACACTTATGGTATTTGTTTATCTTTGAGCAAGTCACTTAATCTGCCAGGGCCTCCATTTACATATGTCCTAATAATAATGAAACCTTTCATTACAGTTTTTCAGAACACTTCCCATATATTCCCATTTGATCATCACAACAGTCCTGTGAGGTATGCATGGCAGATACTACTGTCCTCATTTTACTGATGAGGAAACCGAAACTCAGAGGTTAAATGACTTGCCCAAGGTCACAAAACTAATAAGTGTCCAAACCCTGCTCTCTGATATAGATGTTGTAACCAGTACGCTTGCCACTAAATGCTTTTGTCTTCATGTCTGCAAAATGGAGATTATAGTGATCTATTGCTTGATGTTAATACTGAGAATATTGAAAACAGTATAAAGCATTTTGTAAGAGTTCTATAGGAATTAAAGCAAACATACTGTTTATTATTTCTAGGTGTGGTTAAAATGGTTATTAACTGGCTTTAAGATTTCCTACATTTTTAAAGGTTCTTTGGCCCTTGTTGATTATTTATGTTGTTAAACAAAGTCATGTGTCTCTCTGAGGGCCTGGCCAGTGACATACAGTCATTGAGTTAGGCGGCTGCTTGGACTCAGCCTGGTCTGAGTCACATCCAGAAGCACTAATGGACTGAATAGCTTTGTAGGTAAGACTTTTATAAAACGTTGTTTGCTTTTCTCTGGATTAGGAGCCAAGATACCAGATTTGTTTTCTTTTATCTTACATTATGTTTTTTGGCAAGGATATCTGATTTGGATTCTCATTTGTGGCATTCATTCAGAGTAATACTTACTGAGCACCAAAATCTGTGCAAACTGTGTGATCTTGGTGAAGTCATTTAATCTCACTGGGCTTCAATTGATTCACTCCTCTACCTTCATTCCTTAACTGCAGAGTGGACTTAGAGTAGGGTTTCTTACATGCTAAGGAACTGCCTGGGGAACTTGGATCTGGGGGGATGGGAGGAAGCTGGATGGAAGCAGACTACCTTGGTGACGTTGGGGCAGGGCCTGTTCCAACTGACCTCACCTTCCATTGCTGCAGAGTGAGTGCACTTTTCTGCAGCTTACTATCCACAGAGGCTCCTTGACCAGTTGTCTTTCCTCCTTAACTGTGGTCTTCTAGCCTTCTTTCTATTTATGGCCCAATCCTTTTTATATTCTAGATTCAGGGGGTAGTTTCTAAATTTCCATAGTCATAAGTGAAAGATTTTGGTAGGCTATTGTTCTAGAATAAAGGGGGAGAAAGGGGAAAAAATGGAAGGGAAGTAAAAGAAGACATGGGAGAGATGAAAAGAAGAAATATGAGTTGAGAGGTGGAGTAAGAAAGGAAAGAAATGACAAACACATATAATGAAGAAAAATAATATATTTGCCACCTGAAGTTGCTTTACTTGTTAATTTTTATCATCCCTTAAGTACCTGTTCACATTGGCTTAATTTTAGTCAGCCTAGTTTTTTACTTTCATGAATATTTTTCTTCTTTGACTATCTCGATTACTTTGTTTTTCTATTATTTTTCCTTATTTATTAATTGATTTGGGATGAGTATAAAAGTTCTTATATTAAAATTTTCTATTTCTCATATGAGTCAAAAATAGATACCCTCTTTATTTCTTTAATCTATCTTAATGTTTGAGGAAACTGAGGAGCTAGCCTGTTTTCCCGGTAGAAATTAAATAACGTTTACATTAATGGAGGTAGTCATGCATGTCTACCTGAAATTTGTGATTTTAATTTTTTTTCTTTAAGGAGCTGATGCTACACACATGGATGGTGATCAAATTGTTGTGGAAGTACAAGAAACTGTTTTTGTTTCAGATGTTGTGGATTCAGACATAACTGTGCATAACTTTGTTCCTGATGACCCAGACTCAGTTGTAATCCAAGATGTTATCGAGGACGTTGTTATAGAAGATGTTCAGTGCCCAGATATCATGGAAGAAGCAGATGTATCTGAAACGGTCATCATTCCTGAGCAAGTGCTGGACTCAGATGTAACCGAAGAAGTTTCTTTAGCACACTGCACAGTCCCAGATGATGTTTTAGCTCCTGATATTACTTCGGCCTCAATGTCTATGCCAGAACACGTCTTGACGAGTGAATCCATACATGTGTCTGACGTTGGACACGTTGAACATGTGGTTCATGATAGTGTTGTGGAGGCAGAAATCGTCACTGATCCTCTGACAGCCGACGTAGTGTCAGAAGAAGTGTTGGTGGCAGATTGTGCCTCTGAAGCAGTCATAGATGCCAATGGGATCCCCGTGGACCAGCAAGATGATGACAAAAGCAACTGTGAGGACTACCTTATGATTTCCTGTAAGTCTTGGGGTACAGTGATTGTCAGAGGCATTTTTGAAGGCTGTCTTTCCTAACTTACATCGGGGTGAAATTTTCTAGACTTCTATAAAATTCAAGTGACTCTCATAGACCTTCCTTTATTGTTATTTCAGTTTGGAGCCTGTAAGATAACTCAAAATTAAGAAAAGTAAAATGATGCAGAGTAGAGTCATTTCTCTAGACACAATAGAAAGATGAGATTTCTTCAGTCTAGAGAGACAAAGACAGAAGGGAATAGAACTGAACTTTGTGAAATCATGGAGGATGTAATTAGGCTGTTGTGAGCCTTTGTTAGAATTAGGAACCCTCTTGAAACTTAAAAGGAGTTCAACTTGGAGAAAAATGTATAACCAAACTGCTTATATTCTAAGTACAGTACTACTTATGTAATATTTATGTACTTACTCTACTTATATAATATGTAAAATGCTATTTACATAACAGATAGCATGGAAGGAACTCTGGTACAGAATTGAAACATTAATGATTCCAAAACATTTTAAGTATGATGGACTCAGGTTATTGAAGAAAAGTAAGATGTTTTGGAGCCCACCTCTAACGTCTGGGAGGACAATTGTGTCTTCTTACAGTTTATTTCTTGGTACCACTTTCAGAGATAAAATCCTTAGTTGGATAGACCACAATTCTGACCCAGTATGGAAATTCTTATGCCTTTAGGAACTAAACTTTAAACAAATAAAAACTCAGACTATTTGCTTATATAAATTCACAAGACTGTTTGCTTTGCTTGAATACCTGTTATAATACAGGAAATTAATGTAACTTATTGGAGTCCACCAGCATTTTAGGAATTACCTTTTAAATGTTATTAAGATGTTGGAAATCAGAGAATTCTTTGTGTAAAGAGGAAGAAAACACCTTCGTTCAACACGTGTTTATTGTGCCCCTGCTATGTGTCAGACATTGTTGTAGGTAGTGCAGATATGGATATATACTAAATAAAAAAATACATTAAACCGTTGTCATTGGAGAGCTTACAGTCTACAGTAGGGGAACGTGAACAGATGTGCAAATCTTCTCTTTAAAATTTTCAGTAAGTCATTGAATCTCAGAGTCTACTAAACAGTTTTTACAAAGTTTTTAGTATCCATCTTGGCAGATTTCCCTCTGAAGATCTCATTTTAAATGATGACAAAGTAGCAAGTAATAGTGTCATGGTGGTGCACAAATGCTCTTTGTCACAGTATAGATGCCTTTGAGGTCAGGTGACCTCTCCATCTGGTCTTTGCAATCTAGATGTTATGATTGCTTCTAAATTGATTGTATATTTCTTCAGGGGAGGAACTGTCTAGTGTGTCTTAGCTACTTACGTATCTTTCCCATCAAACCTTGTGGCATATTAGATGTGAAATATTTACTGAATGAACGAATACGTGAATGCTGTATCTGAAAGTCTGTGGACATCACACCTCATCCAAGAAATTAGTGACACATTTCTTCTCTACCAGTAGCTATTGGCTCTTACTTGGTTCTGGTCAGGCTAGATATGGTGCTACTGCTTGATGGCACTTGAGTTTTCTGGCTCTTGAGAGGTGGAGTGTTTGAATCATCCCCTTGTTACTCAGATTGTTTCTTAGTTCTCCTTTAATCTGAGACAGCTGCCAGACATTCCTAATTTCTTTGCATTGGTCTTCACCCTCCTAGAGTTTCACTTTGCAGCTTCATAGTCAAGACGCTATTTTGTGAAACATCAGTTTGTACAGTAGGGAAAGTTGGAGAAGATCTGGTGTTGATGAGTCAGGCACTGCCTTACAACAGCTGCAGGAAATAAAATATTCTTAGGGTGCCTCTGATATTAACATGGTCAGTGAGATGTCACTCTAGATCTTGTTGACATCTCCCATGTCTTTTAATTAGAACAGTTAGGTAGGAGATGAACGGGAGTTAGGCATTCCTTTCTGATCCTAGATTCAATTTAGGTGTTGAAATAAATTTTTTTTCATAACAGCTTTATACACATACCATGCTGTTCCCACACTTGAAGTGTATAATTCATTGGTTTTTAATATATTCATAAACTCATGCAACTGTCATCACAATCAATTTTTGAAAATGTTCATTACCCCCATGGAGAATCTGAATCCCTTTAACTATCACTCCTGTCAGCCCTCTCCCTCCCCTCCAACTCTAAGCAATCTAATTTACTTTCTGTATTTGCCTATTCTGGACATTTCTTACAAATGGAATCCTATAGTATGTGGTTTTTTGTGACTGCCTTTTTTATCTAGTATAACGTTTTTAACATTCATCCATGCTGTAGCATGTATCAATACTTCATTCCTTTTTATTGCTGAATAATAATCCATTGTATGGATATCCTTTTTAGTCTGTTTATCAGTTGATGAACTTTTGAGTTGTTTCCACTTTTTAACTGTTTAGGACTGTAATATTAACATTTGTATACAAATTTTTGTTGGACATATGTTTTCTTTTCTCCTGGGTATGTATATAGGAGTGGAATTCTTGGGTCATATGGTAATTCTATGTTTAATTTTTTGAGGAATGCCAGACTATTCCAAAGCAGTTGCACCATTTTACATTCCCACCAGCAGTGTAAGAGGATTCCATTTTCTCCATATCCTCTCCACTACTTGTTAATACTTTTTGTGAGTTTGTGATAGCTGTCCTAGTGGATGTGAAGTGGTATCCTATTGTGGTTTTGATACACATTTCCCTGATGGCTAATGATGTTGAGCATCTTTTCATGTGCTTATTGGCCATTTGTATATATTATTTGGAGAAATGTCTGTTCGGGTCCTTTGACCATTTTTAAGTTGAGTTATTTGTCTTTTTACTGAATTGAAAGAGTTCTTTATATATTCCAGATGCAAGTCCCTTATATATGATTTGCAAATATTTTCTCCCATTCTTTTGGTTGTTTTTTTTTTCCCATTCTGTTGGTTGTTTTCCCTTTTTTGATAGTGTCCTTTGATTCACAAAAGTTTTAAATTTTGATGAAGTCTAATTTTATCTATACAGGTGTACCTTGGAGATATTGCAGGTATGGTTCCAGACCATCACAGTAAAGCGAGTCACATGGATTTTTTGGTTTCCCAGTGTATATAAAAGTTATGTTTACACTATATTGTAGTCTGTTAAAAGCTAATGTATAATAACTTTATGTTCCCCCAAATGTATATATCTTAATTTTTAAAAACTTATTCTAAAAAATACTAACCATTATCTGAACCTTCAGTGAGTTGTAACAGCAAAGATTACTCATCACAATTCATTATAACAAATATAATAATAATGAACAAATTTTGAGTATTGTAAGAATTACCAGAACATCACACAGAGACATGAAGCAAGCAAATGCTGTTGGAAAAATGGTACTGATAGACTTGCTTGATCCAGGGTTGCCACAAACCTTCAATTTGTAGAAAGCACAGTGTCTGAAGTGCAATAAAATGAGGCAAGTGTGTAAACTTTTTTTGTTGTTTATGCTTTTGGTGTCATATATAATAGATTATTGCCTAATCCAAGATTATAAGGATTTACACCTGTGCTTTCCTCCAAGCATTGCCTTTACATTTAGGCCTTTGATCTATTTTGAGTTTATTTTTGTGTCTAGTGTGTGGTAAGGAGCTGAGTTCATTCTTTGGCATGTGGAATTCAGTTGTCCTAGCACCTTTTGTTGAAAAGACTCTTCTTTCCCCATTGAGTGTTCTTGGCACCCTTGCTGAAAATAATTGACTATAAATGTGAGGGGTTTATTTCTGTACTCTAAATTCTATTCCATTGATCTGTATGTCCATCCTTATACTATTTTCATGCTGTCAGGAGTGGGCAGTGAATTTGTAAAATTTACTACCCTAAATATTAAAGTCTAAATTTTAAAGTCCAAGCAAAAATACATAATTCAACTTTTAAAGGTTTAGCAGAATTAATAAGTGATGACAACATAATGCATTCTTATGGAAAACAAGGGTACTTGAGTATGTGTTACCTGCCTTTTATAGTAACATTAAGATAAACAACTAATAGGCCTGTGGAGCATGGGGTCCCTCCTGCCAAAACCTGAACACTTGGCCAGAGTCTCTCTTCTAATGTAAACTGATATGATTCTTCATTTCTAATACACATTTTAATAAAATATGTGCTTTCAGTTATTTTAAGCAGCTTTAAAAGAGACAAATTAAAAAAATTAAAGCAAATAATTTGAGCTTAGAACCTTTTAAACTAGTTGGGGTTAAGTGAAAGTATGTCACCATTTTTAACATGTTTATTATACAACTGGAAATTTTGCTTTGTGGAGACCATTAATAAAACTCTTTGGTGACAGTGAGTGGGGAGTAATAACACAGCTGTGTTCTCTCCATTTGGTTGTTTTTATATTCTAAGGCCAAAGACTTTTTCACTACGATAAGATTGTATTCAAAATATTATTTTACAGTATGCAACTGCTTTTTATAAAAGCCAGATGTTAATACATCGTTACATTGGTTAGTTTTTAACTAATGCTTATTAAACTCCTTTGGTCTGGTGGCATATATAGATATAGATATAGATATAGTTTAAGTCCATTTGAATTAATATTTTGAGAAAGAGTTCAGGTGCTAATGTGTGCAAATTGCTTTCAGACTCATCAGACCCATGAAACCCATCTCTAATGACCCTTGAGTCACTTGGCATTTCCTTCAGGAGATCTAATTAAGTTTGTTTGGTGAGGTTTGTTGTTAATAAAGTTTCCTTTTGGGGGAAAAATGTTTAGGGTTGTATTTTTTTGTGGTTTGATTTTTTAAAATTGTCAGTGTGGACAATTTAAACGTTTTTTTTAAACTTAGGCTTTTTTATCCCAAGAAAGATTATTTAGTTGGAGATTTGTAGCAAGTTGATAACAGTAAAAATAGGTAATAGTAAACCTTAATAAATGATATGTGTGTCTGAACTTAATATATTATGTTCCTTACCGCTACCTTGTAATGTTGGTGTTATCATCGTTTTACAGATTGGGT